CCGCCGCGCGCGGGCCACGCCCCGCCCGCAGGTCCTGGCAGGGCCGTAGCGAGCGCGGGGCCGGAGCCGGGGCCGGTGTCAGCCCGGTGCTCCCGGAGCCCTGGCAGAACCGCCTTCAGCCCAGCGGACACAGCGCACGGCAAACTGCTGCCGCTGCCGCCCGCGGTTTGCATCAGCAGAAAAGATAATTTGTGGGGTGTTTTTGATGGAGAGGGGAATCTGCCTTGCCCTGCGGCTGTGGGGGCTGCCGGGTTTGTAGCGAGGACTCGGAGTGCTGCTGGATCCCGGCGGGATCAGCTCTGCTGCGGAGCAGTGCAGTTCTCCAGAACAGCCCGTAGCTGGCACTGTCCAGGCAGCTGAGAAGCAGGAATCCTGTCCTTCCCCATGCACAGCAGAAGCAAGTTAACAGAAAAGTTAGAAAGTAGGAAAGAAGTGGTTCTTCGCCTTCAGTGGCTCAGTCTTGAGGCTGAGATGCTCGTGATTCTCTGCAGCCACGTCACCACAGACTTTTAAAAAGAGAAGTTGAGAATTCCAGGCGATTCATCGAGACAGGGCTTTAAAACCCCTTATAAAACACTGTAAAATGTCAGAAAAATCCTCACACATCATGAGTTTTCACATTCGTGAGCTCAACATTCTTCCAACTGTAATTTGCACTTTTGACACAGACAAAGAATGATTTCTCTCTCGATCGCTAGACTTTGCAATGAATCTGGCAAATAGGCTGGCCCCTTCCTGCCCTGAATCTTATAAAGAAGTGTGAGTTCACTGTCAGAGCACTGTGAACACTTCGCTTCTGAGGCATGAGCCAAGGTAGAGCCCAGCCAGATATCTCTGGGCTCAGCAGGGCTGATGGGAATATCAGACACTCCGAAAATAGTTTAATCAACAAAGTGGCACTTCTCCTCAGGCACCTGCATGCTGTTGGCATTTAAGTATTAAAAACAACCAAAAAAGTGATCAGGCTGCTGTAATCCTGGAAAGTCACCTGAGGCATGAAGCCTGCTGGAGCAGCACTACTGACATGGCTACCTTTGGCATCAAGTCTCTGTGGTTTGGCAGTGCTAAAAATTATCCTCAGAACCCAAGGATCCCTTTGTACAGGAGATGAATCAAGTGTGTACCCCTCCTGAGCCTCTGGCTTCATGCAGGCAGTAGAATTCCCCCCAGTAGACAGGAAAGGTTTTATGCAGGCACTTTGCTGCTAAGCTGCACCTTGCTGGGAAGAAGGTCATCTGCATGTTGGCTTAGAGTAAAGATTTAAGTGAGGTAAGGGCTGCTACCATCACAAAATCAGGAGGGGCAAGTGGGGTGAGGAGGGCAAGACATTATTTTGTCCCTTCCAGCCACAGCCAGCTCTGGTTAAACCATGGGTGAAACCACGGCAGAGACCTTGGGGTGATGTGATAATCGGCAGGTGGAGAGCAGAAACTTCCTGACAGAGATAAAACCACTCCTCTGCTGATGCTCAGGGTTCATAGGTGCTGACACTGGACATTACAGCCCAGCTGCTCCCATCCCTCTCTCCTACTCTGCTCCGCACCTCCACCATGGGCTCCTGCTGCCTCGCCTTCTGAGGAGTCTTTCAACAGGGCAGCTGCTGGGTAAATCAGTTCCTGCCTTGTCTTGTGGGTGGTTGGGTTTCCAGTGGATTATCTGACAAAGCCAGTTGAAGAAAAGGTCCCAGGTGTGTGTATCTGACTCTTTTCACTGAGAGCAGCTTGTGCTGGAATGGGTAAAGGTAGCAACAGGCCCTGCACCAGTACAGACCTGATGTGGCACAGCTGGCATAGGTGACATTTGTGCCAGGGCCTGGATTTTAAGCTAACAGAATCTGAACTGTTTCTGCTTCATGACATTGCTTGCTGGGAAAATGCAAGCATTGCTAAGTAACAATTCAACTGGTACAGAGATTTAGTTACAAAAGACAGGTTAAAATACTTGTGTGATGTACTGCTGGTACACAGGTCTGGCACCAGTTATTTTTGGGCCTGAAGTCATGAGAATTTGGCACAGGTGAGATGTAATGGAAGTTACACTGTCAAGACTCATTCACCTCTCAGGCTGACAGGTGCCAGGTGACTTTCTGCAATCTGTATTTCTACTTTCCTGAGAGTCCAACTCTCAAATACTTGTGAGTATACAAGTGCCCATAACCCATCATGATAGGATTCCTTGGGGCAAAAGTAGACATCACTTAGCAACAAGAAGAGAAAAATATTAAACCAGGAGATAAACTTCATCACTAATACTCCTCCCCATACTTTCTATGTTATTGCTATATTATTCCATGAGCTGTGCTCCTCCTGTGTGCTGCCCCTGGGGATCAGTGCTGTTTGCAGAGCTGGCACAGGAGAATCCTTCCCATGTTGTGGCTTAACCCCAGCCAGCAACTCCACCCCACGCTGCTCACTCACCCCTTCCCAGAGGGATGGGGAGAGCATTGTAAGAGGAAGAGAATTCATGGTTTGAGATAAAGACAGTTTAACAGGGAAAGCAAAGGCCATGCAAGAAAAACAGGACAAGAATTCATTCCCTGCTTCTCCTGCAGGCAGGTGTTCAACCACCACCAGGACATCAGGACACTGTCACAGGTAGATGTTACTGCTGAAGATTAATAGATCACACGGACACAGGTCGAGGTGTGGTGAAAGAAAGAGCAGAGTTTATTTTTCCTCCCAGGATTTATAGGCTCCTGACTACGGCCAGGGATTGGATGGTCAGGATAACACTTTCTCACTGCACTGGCCATGAGAGATGCCCTTCACAAGACGTGTAACAGAAAGAATGTACACATATCTATGTTTACAGCTACTGTCCTGGGAAAGTCCTTAGAAAACTATGTTAGCAAGCTCAGAAGCTGAGTTTTCAGGGCGACAGGTAACAGTTCCTTGTGACAGGAAAGGTGAGTGCTAATGTCTTTACAAACAGTTCCATGGGTGAGGGGATGGGTAATAATGTCTTTGAAATGGATCTTAATGTCTCTACCAGCTTCAAGCAGCAGGTTTGTTACAGAGCCCAGACAGCTTTGGCTCTTGAGGCAGACAAGTGGGTCTGCAAGAGCTTGAGTTTCTGAACTTTGGGGTAAAATGACAGGTTCAAGGGGCATATGTGGCAGGGAAAGCTGTACCTTCCTCATTCCTCAGCAATGGGGAAAGGAAGAGGGCAAAATGTGGCTGGGAGTTTGGGATAAAAGGCGGCTGCACCCTCTGAAACCTCGGGAGAGAAAACCCCATGGGTGTGTACCCTGGTGGACTCTCTCCCTTTATTCGAATAAAGTTGCAGGACTCCTCTGTCTCCTTTATGAGCCCTGGCTTTTCATGTGTGATCTTCTGTACAAGTCCAACCCGTAACCCACCACTAAACCACGTCCCCAGGTGCCACATCTATGTGTTTTTTTTAACACCTCCTGGGCTGGTGACTGTACCACTGCCCTGGGCAGCCTGTGCCATGCCTCACTGCCCTTACAGTGAAGAATTTTTTTCTCTAATATCCAACCCAAAGCGTCCCTGGCAGAACTTGAAGTTGCTTCAGCTGGCTGGATAAAAAAATGCTCACAACAGGGACATTCTCACTGGAAAATACTCTGTATCCTCACCCTCTTCCTGAATGTTACATTGGATCAGCCTAGTCTGAAACAAAATGGGGAGGACAAAGGAAATCGCCTGTATGTGAAACAGATTGTCAGGAAAATAAATCCACAAACACCAGAGGATTATGTCCAACAAGGGGACAGAGGAGTCCTGTAAATTTACTTGAATAAAGGGGGAGGCCATGGGGCATTTCCCCTGGGGTCTCAAATTTTTTGGAGGATCCAGCCTCCTTTTTTATCCTTATTTCCCGACTGCATGTCCCTTTTTTTTCCCCCCATTGGCTGAGGCACTTGAGAGGTACAGACTCCCCAAAACGCCTAATAGCTGAAATGCCTAATACCTAACACAACCTTCTAATATTTACCTCTCTCCCTCTTTGTCTTTTCCTTGTCTCAATTAGTGGAACTCCTTATGGAATTTATGACTCTTCTCATTGTTTCCATCATCTCTCAGTATTCAGATTTATACATCAGCAGACCTACAGTTTGTTTGTAAAGACAAATCTCTCATTCCATTTATCCATCGGTGGGATCCTTCCCATTGTTTCTTTTTATCTCTCAGTATCTAGCTTTATTTACCAGCACATCCATAGTTTGTTTGTAAAGACAAATCTGTCATTCCTTTCACGATGGAGTTACACAGTGTGTATCCCATGGGAAAAGACTGTCGCTGAGGTGAGAAGATCCAAAAGAAAAAGGCAGTTCTTTCCAAAGATGTTCTCATGTGTCCAGCTGGGAGTTTGGGCTAGGGAGCAGCCGGTGTGGGGAGCGCAGGGCACTGGCAGCTGCGTTTCCCTGTTCTGGGGCTCCAGCGCTGCTTTCTCTGCATGTGGCCCTGCTGTGGCTGCAGGGACACAGGAGCTGCTGGGATCAGCCTTCCCCAGAGGCTCTGATTTCACTGCTGGAGCAGAGCAGGGACAGGAGGATCCACAGTCCCACAAGAATTTCTGCCAACAGCAGAGGCCAAAGCCCCGGGCTGCGGTGCAGGTGATCCCTGGCTGGGCTGTGCCGGTCCGGGCTGGCTCTCAGGAGATCCTGTCTGACCGAGTGGGAAGTGAGGAACCGTGGTTTGATATTCCAACAAGGAGAGCTGGGCTGTGGAGTGACACCTGCAGAGAGGGAAGGCTCTGAATCTGGAGATTTGGCCAGGGTGTTTGGAAAACATCTGCAGCAATTCATCACTACCCCCCTGAGCACCATGTGCAGGAGTGTTCTGCCTTTGCTGGGTTACTCTGCCAGTGGAGTTTTCTGATGTGCTGCAGTAACAAGTGGGTCTCTCCTCCCTTGTTTCAGTAGAAAATTATGCATTTAACACATGCAGGTCCCCATAAAGCCAGACCAGGAGTTTACAAACCACAGGGGTAGCAGTAGATTAATACTGCCCCTGGGGACTGAATGTGTTAAGGATCATCACATTAACACATCTTCAAAATCCTGAGCCCAGGCTGAGGTCTCAGTTCACACCAAATGAAAACCATGTCCCTGGGAGCCTTTGGACAAGGGGAAGGCCTTTCCCGGTTGTTTGCAGAATCACCCATATCACTGAGGTATTTATGGGGCTGTTTTGCCCTCCAGGCTTCTCGCTACCTGATTTACAGGCTGGGAAAACGCAGCCAAATGGAAACCTGAGGGAGATTTCCTTTTTTTCTCTCTGGCCTTCTCACAGGAGAGACTGTTGAGAAAAGGAGATGGGTTTTCTCTGGGACAGAGTACCCACCTATTGACCAGGGCTTCTCCTGTTGGGCATCATGCAAGGCCTTAAACAATCCTGGGACCAAGTCTGGCAGTGAGATTTGCATGATCATTTCATGCTCTGAGTGCTTTCAAAGCACCTTTAGTTCCCTGGGAAGTGCAGCTTCTGGGAATGAGGGGTGATCTCTGGGCTCATCACCAGTGGAGGCTGTGGGTACTGAAGTTTGTGTGAGTTAAAAGGGGAAAAAAAAGAAGCTATTAGCCAAACTCACAGGAAAGGAGAACAAAAAACAACACCATCAAGAATGAAATGCAAAGGTCTGAGCTCTGGGGAAGTTTGAGCCTCATGGAGGATGGAGAGGAGCAAGGGCCAAAGACAAATATTCTTTTATTTCCCTCAGAATTGCTAACAAAGTGTATAACAAATGTATTTTCTTGTCTTCCATTATAACATTGCTGGATAAAAGCTAAAACACTGCTGTCTGCTTTTTGGAGAAAGTACAAATATGGGGCATGCACACCTTGGAGAGGCAAGGCCAGACTCAAACACATTCACATCTATTCCCAAATGTTTGCCTTCCACCTGAAGAAAAGAATGCCAAGCCTTTGTCAGAGCCTAGATATCCCATCTCAGGACATTTTGGGCCAGCACAGTGAGGGTTGTTTGGGAGATCTCTGTGCAGGGAATGGAGCACAGGTGGGCTCAGCCTGACCACTACAGTGCCCCACTGCCTCTACCTGCTCTGCAGGCACCTTCCCCTGGTCCCATGGCCCCTCCCTGCCCTCTGGCATCAACTGGGCAATCTGGGCACTGCAGCAGGAGATTTTTCTGGCTACTGCCCAGGTAGCAGCTGCCTGCTGGAGGAGCAGGTGCCTGTGCTATGTGAGCAGGTCCTGATGGGACCATGTGTGGTCCTGGTGGAGGTGGTTCTGTGGTACAGGAAATTAATACTCTGGTAAAAGTCCAAAAGGCTGGAAAACCACGTGGTGTAAAGGCACAAGAGAGAAGTGAGCTGGAAGTGATTGTACAAATAAATCTACTTCACTGCTAACTGAAAAGGAGCAAAGACTGAGAAAGAAAAACCTCTGGATACTCCTGTATCCATTAGAGAGATCCACAGTGTCCACAGGACCGTGCTGGTAGCAAAAAAAGGACAATAAGCCATGGCTTTATTGATTGCTTCTCCTCATTGTCTTTTATTATTTTTCCTATTTAGTTAATAATTAGAAGTTAGATGAGAAGGGAATTGTGAGCTCTGAGTCCGGGGTGTGGTGACTGATGCTAGAAGAAATTGCAGTAATATATTTAAATTTTACTAAAGCACTTGACACTGTGTCTCAATTTTCTGCACAAAACTGATTAAGTTATTATACATGAAAGCTGATGATGGAGAAGACTGCATCAGGTGGAGGAAGGTTTCTAAATTTCTGTAGACATCACTGCCAGATTAAACTCTGATTAATCAATGCAGATTAACATCATCTTTATCTTTGCTGCTGGTGTCAGACAAGACCTTTCAGCTCCAGGCCATCACATCATCTATTGCTCAGGTGAAAGCATTTGATGAGCTCCATCCTGTTCCCTGTGGGCAGCAATCAAGCTCAGAATTGAGCTTGTTTTTCTTTATTCAGTTTCATCTTCCTCTTCTAGAATTCAAAAATTACTGCAGGTCTTCATGTGTTGGAAATCTCATTTTCATTACTCTGAACTTGATTTAAGACCTAAGTTGGAGTTTTTCAGCACAGCTGAAATTCACTTACAAATTCAGCTGTCCATTTTGCATCTCTCTGAGGGCATTCAGCTGAAACCGAGTAAAAGTCTTTCATATACACCAACCTTGATGTGCAAACCCATGTCATCTCTGGAAGGGCTTCTGATTTCTACTTGTATCTCACACTCAGTTTCTAACCCACGTGTCTGCTCATCCTTTCCTTCACTGGTGATATTTGTACTAAAATCACCTTCCACTTCTCATCCTTGTGGAGAATGTCAGCACTATCAGACAAGTCCAGCTCTCAGATTTTTTCAGAAAAAAATAAAATTCCCCATCTGCTGTTTTTGGTGCCATAGAAATAAAAACTACTTTCTTATATCATCATTTTAATGCCTCATCTCTGGGAAAAAATATTAGTGGTGGGACCTAGATCATCTAGGAAGGGTTGTTGTTTCCATACCATGTCAGCTGCCCAAAGCAGGAGTTCTCCATCTCTTGAGCAGCTCCACACTTTGGTAAGATCTCCACTGAGTGCTTGAGTTTCTGTCTGACCAGAGACAGAAATTCAGCCATCAGCAGAGGTGGCTGTTGGTTCCTCACAGGGAGCCGGATCAGGCTGCAGAGGAAAAAGTTGCTTCAATTCTCCTCTGTGCTTTGAAGCAAGGGCTGATTATGAGCCATCAGAGGGGCTGTGTCCTAATCAGCAGCTGTGGCTTTTATAAGTCAGCTTTTATAAGATAAGCCAGCCACTGAGACCCTCTTTCATAACCTCCTAATTTCCCCAGGCAGTTTGGTCATGCCTGACACCCTGGAAGACCATGGCAACATTGAAGAGGTTTTGTTTCCATCATAATAAATCAGATACTTTGTTCCAGAAGGCATCACGGGATCTGCATCACATCCATC